ACAACCACATGAAGAAGAAGAAGAAGAAGAAGAGGGGCGGAGGCCATACCTGCGTCAGCGGTACTTAACTGGGCGCCATAGCCGTGCTCCACACTGGCTCCCTGCAAAGCCACAACAACAACAACACATTCCTGCGTCAGCGGTACTTAACTGGGCGCCATAGCCATACTCCACATTGGCGACCTGAACAACAACAACAACAACAACAACAACCACAACCACATGTAGAAGAAGAAGAAGAAGAGGAGGGGCGGAGTCCATACCTACGTCTGCGGTACTTAACTGGCCGCCATAGCGGTGCTCCACGCTGGCGACCTGCACAATAACAACAACAACAACACATGCCTGCGTCAGCGGTACTTAACTGGGCGCCATAGCCGTACTCCACACTGGCGACCTACACAACAACAACAACAAATACAACAACAACAACAACAACAACAACAACAACAACAACAACAACAACAACAACAACCACATGAAGAAGAAGAAGAAGAAGAAGAAGAAGAAGAAAAAGAGGGGCGGAGGCCATACCTGCGGCAGCGGTACTTCCCTGGGCGCCATAGCCGTGCTCCACACTTTCGAAGAAGAAGAAGAGGGGCGGAGGCCATACCTGCGTCAGCGGTACTTACCTGGGCGCCATAGCCGTGCTCCACGCTGTCAACCTGCACAACAACAACAACAACAACAACAACAACAACAACAACAACAACAATAACAACAACAACAACAACAACAACAACAACAACAACAGCAACAACCACAACAACAACTAGAACCACAACCACCTGGGCGCCATAGCCGTGCTCAACGCTGTCGACCTGCACAACAACAGCAACAACAACAACAACAACCACAACCACCACCAGAAGAAGAAGAAGAAGAAGAAGAAGAAGAAGAAGAAGAAGAAGAAGAAGAACCACCTGGGCGCCACAGCCGTGCTCCACGCCGTCGAAGAAGAAGAAGAGGGACAGAGGCCATACCTGCGTCAACGGTACTTACCTGGGCGCCATTGCCGTGCTCCACGCTGTCGACCTGCACAACAACAACAACAACAACAACAACAACAACAACAACAACAACAACCAGAAGAAGAAAACGAAGAAGACGAAGACGAAGACGAAGACGAGGAAGAAGAAGAAGAAGAAGAAGAAGAAGAAGAAGAAGAAGAAGTACATATTTTTAAAAAAAATTGAATGAATCATAAACTTTTAAGAATGTTCTTTTCTTCAATGTTCTTAATTTTAAATAGATATATTTTTCATTGTGAATCAATTCCCTTGGTTATTATTGAATTATTTCCCATCTTTGCAGGATTTGTTATTCCATTACTTCCTAGTACGGAAGAAGAAGAAGAAGAAGAAAAAGAATAAGAAGAAGAAGAGGGGCGGAGGCCACACCTGCATCAGCCGTACTTAACTGGGCGCCATAGTTGTGCTCCACACTGGCGACCTGTACAACAACAACAACAACAACACATACCTGCGGCAGCAGTACTTAACTGTGCGCCATAGCCGCAATCCGCACTGGCGACCTAAAGACGAAGAAGAAGAAGAAGAAGACGAAGAAGAAGAAGAAGACGAAGAAGAAGAGGGGCGGAGGCCATACCTGCGTCAGCCGTACTTAACTGGGCGCCATAGCCGTGCTCCACACTGGCGACCTGTACATCCACACTGGCGACCTGTACAACAACAACAACAACAACACATACCTTCGTCAGCGGTACTTAACTGGGCGCCATAGCCGTGCTCCACACTGGCGACCTGTACATCCACACTGGCGACCTGTACAACAACAACAACAACAACACATACCTGCGTCAGCGGTACTTAACTTGGAACCATAGCCGTGCGCCACACTGCCGACCTGAACAACAACGACAACAACAACAACAACAACAACAACCACATGAAGGAGAAGAAGAAGAAGAAGAGGGGCCGAGGCCATACCTGCGTCAGCGGTAATAACTGGGCGCCATAGCCGTGCTCCACACTGGCGACCTGCACAACAACAACAGCAACAACACATCCCTGCGTCAGCTGTACTTAACTGGGCGCCATAGCTGTGCTCCACACTGGCGACCTGAACAACAACAACAACAACAACCACAACCACATGAAGAAGAAGAAAAGAAGAAGAGGGGCGGAGGCCATACCTGCGTCAGCGGTACTTAACTGGGCGCCTTAGCCGTGCTCCACACTAGCGACCTGCACAACAACAACAACAACATCACATCCCTTCGTCAGAGGTACTTAACTGGGCGCCATAGCCGTGCTCCACACTGGCGACCTGCACAACAACAACAACAACAACAACAATAACAACAACAACAACAACAACAACAACAACAACATGAAAAAGAAGAAGAAGAAGAAGAAGAAGAAGAAGAAGAAGAAGAAGAAGAAGAGGGGCGGAGGCCATACCTGCGGCAACGGTACTTCCCTGGGCGCCATAGCCGTGCTCCACGTTGTCGAAGAAGAAGAAGAGGTGCGGAGGCCATACCTGCGTCAGCGTTACTTAGCTGGGCGCCATAGCCGTGCTCCACGCTGTCGACCTGCACAACAACAACAACAACAACAACAACAACAACAACAGCAACAACCACAACAACAACCAGAACCACAACCACCTGGGTGCCATAGCCGTGCTCCACGCTGTCGACCTGCACAACAACAAGCAACAACCACAACAACAACCACAAGAAGAAGAAGAAGAAGAAGAAGAAGAAGAAGAAGAAGAAGAAGAAGAACCACCTGGGCACCATAGCCGTGCTCCACGCTGTCGAAGAAGAAGAAGAGCGGACGAGGCCATACCTGCGTTAGAGGTACTTACCTGGGCGCCATAGCCATGCTCCACGCTGTCGACCTGCACAACAACAACAACAACAACAACAACAACAACAACAACAACAACCACCTGGACGCCATAGCCGTGCTCCACGCTGTCGACCTGCACAACAACGACAACAACAACAACAGGAACAACCACAACAAGCACCAGCAGAAGAAGAAGAAGAAGAAGAAGAAGACGACGACGAAGAAGAAGAAGAAGAAGAAGAAGAAGAAGAAACCACATGGGCGCCATAGCCGTGCTCCACGCTGTCGAAGAAGAAGAAGAGGGGCGGAGGCCATACCTGCGTCAACGGTACTTACCTGGGCGCCATTGCCGTGCTCCACGCTTTCGACCTGCACAACAACAACAACAACAACAACAACAACAACAACAACAACAACAACCACAACAACAACAACAACAACAACAACCACAACAACAACCAGAACCACAACCACCTGGGCGCCATAGCCGTGCTCCTTGCTGTCGACCTGCACAACAACAACAACAACAACAACAACAACAACAACAACAACAACCACAACGACAACCACCAGAAGAAGAAGACGAAGAAGACGAAGACGAAGACGAGGAAGAAGAAGAAGAAGAAGAAGAAGAAGAAGAAGAAGAAGAAGAAGAAGTACATATTTTTTAAAAATTTGAATGAATCATAGATTTTTAAGAATATTCTTTTGTTCAATATTCTTTATTTTAAATAGATATATTTTTCATTATGAATCAATTGCCT